ACTCCTTCCTCGCCCGCTTCACCGACCAGGGGGGGCGTTCGCACATCCGGCAGGCGTGCTCGTCGGAATTGGCAAGGGGGCGCGGGGGCATCTCTGGCACCGCCGTTTATCCGCCTGAATCTCGGGCGCTCCTGCCTGGGCAAATTCTTCGCTCCGCTTGCAGGCGTATCCACGGGCGCTCAACTCACGGCCAAGATTCGAAGGCCTTATCGGGGATCGCGCGAGCGCTATCGTTGGCGAGATCGGCGGAAAAAAGACTCGCATCCCTTATCGGTCATCTGATCGGAGAGATCACCCATCGCGATGACTCCGCGAGGTTGATGTGCTGAGGCAGTGCCAGGATGCTCGGCCATGATCTGCTTGTCCTGCTCCACGAGAGGAGCCGCCTCCTTCGCAGCCCTCTCGTCATCCTGGAGGAGATCATCGAACTGCATCGACGATCTGGTCCTGGGTGTTTGCAGCCGCGGAAGCGGAGCTTCCTGAGCCAAGCATGGGGCCTGGGGACTCCCGGAAGCCCTCGGGGTCGATCTCCGCAGATGGGCGCGGAGGATTATTGGCGTTAGCCGTGGAGATGGATGGGGCAGGTTGTTGTGCACGCGCAGGGCCGTCGTCAGGCTGGTCGTGATCCAACGGGAACTCTGACTGAACAATCCATCGCGTCGCCAAATAAACTTTCGCAATGCAATGGGTCCTGGATGATTGCGCTGTGTCTGTATGACACTCTTCTCGACCAAGCGGTTCCGCGCTGTTGTAAATAATGCCGCATACAAATTGGGGGTTCACTAAACATGTCTTAATCCACTCGCGTGATTTGGGTAATCCACATGCCGCAACAGTGTCTGTGGGAAGACGCCCACGCCGCAAAGATCTGCAACATCGATGGGCACATTGATTGAGGTGATCGATAATCATGCTGTTGAATTTCATCTCTATGTCGAAGCGAGAGTTGCTATCAATATGCTGTTCGAGCTTGCACGCATCTATGCAATGCGTAATGTTGATGTTTTGAAGAATCATACATACTAGAATGTCCACTAATGAGTCTGCGATCCATGTGCCCCCTTCCTTTTCCATGTAGCTCGCCAATTTCTCAGGCGGGTCGATGAGCTCCACCGTGTCTGCGCTCTCGTTCGCCTGGACAGCCTGGTCGCCATCGCGCGCACGCTTAGCAACGAGGGCGTCTTGCGCAGGTGTGTCCACCAGCGCTGCAAAGACTGGATCGAAGCTTGTACTGCGACTGTCAATGTGTTCGCCCATGTCGCATTGCCTCAAGGCATCGCGGAGGTCGGCAGGAATCTGTTGGCGGAGAGGTATGCGAACTTACCGCCATTATGCTCGTTCTGCCGGCCAGTGTGCCAGAGGTTGACCCAACGTGGTCCACGGCCCTGGATGGGCACCGTGACAGCGACGCATTTGCCGTAGTGGCCCCAATCGATGACAGGGCCGCACACTTGACCTTTTGCCGACGTGCCGGCGACCCCGACGTCTCCACCTGGATAAGGGGCATTCTGGTATCTGCACAATGTTTCCCCACGGTTTCGCGCAGATGAAGTCGCCGTCCTGGGCGCCGTTGCACCCAGCGCGCAGACCCCGGCAAACGACCGACATGTCCTGTGCCAAAGGCTGGTGCAGCGCCTTGCAGGTGAACGCGCTGCCCCACCAAACGTTGGCTTGCACGATTTGTTCGACGGTCTCCTGCGTGACCTGCATTGGAGGAAAGTCTGGTGGATCCGCGTTCGGGGTTGGAGCGGATGGTTCCACCGGCGCGGGGCCGGGCCAATGCGGAAGTGCATCATGGGCAGATCTGCGCGCGCCAGACAGGAGCTCACCCGCGGGTTTGGCTTCGCGCGGCGCGCCTGGCTCGAGGGGGGGCCGCCGACGACGCAGCGCCAGCGCCGGCGTCAGCAGGCGCTGCCGCCAGCGCAGATCGCGCCGCGCTGAGCGGCTGCGGCGGCGGAGGGCGCCCAGCAATGGTTGGGCCGCTCGCGCCGGGCGGCGGTGGCGGAGGTTTGGCGAATGGTGTATGCGGCGCTGGCTGCGGCGCCTTCGCGGGCCCATGCCCCCGCGGCGCTGCCGTTGCCGCGGTCGGGCCCGAGGGCCCAATGGCAGCGGGGGCTGGCGGCGGCGGCGGACGCATGTCCCACGCCCTCAACGGCGCCGTGGGAACGCGGTTCGACGCAGGCGTGGCCGCCGGCAGAACGCCACAAACTTTGATTTGACTCCGCGGTTCCGCCATGCGTTCCACAGGCGGGCGCGCCCACGGCAAGCCGCGTTCGGGGCGCAGTACTTGCCCACCAACGGCGTTGATTGCAAGCGCGGCGCCGCGCGGCGCAGTTTTCGGTCGCGCGATGGCGCGCTGCCCCCCCAGCCAGAATTGGCACCCCGCTTGCATTGCCGCTTCCATGTCGGTCACGATGTCGACCTGTTTATTCGGGCGATGGAACTCATAGCTCGGGGGCTCGGCGCGGGAAGTATGCAAGTCATCGCAGACGCAAGAGCGGGGGCACGAGAACCCTCTTGCCCGCGCCTGGCGCGAAGCTCAATATCCAAAATGATGCCGTACGTCGTGATGCTCACCCACGCGTCCCTGGCCGTGGCACGATGGAGGGATTTGACGTACGTCCATTGTGACCTTGACCCTCCCACATTCCATGGTGCGCCGTCGATGTTAGCCGAACTCTGACCGCCGACAGCTCTGATAGCTAAGACTTTGTACCATGCGAGGTCAGGGCCGAAGGCGTTGCCACCGTCGCAATTCACGAAGACCTGAAAACGTGATTTCTCGCCGTCAATATGCAACTGGAGGAAGCGCAACACGGCGATGGTGTAGTAACCAGACGGGGTCTGCCACGGTTGGTTGAGTTCCTGCATCAGGCGCGCATGGGCAGTCGCGGCGTCGCGGTCGGGGCCATGGTGGCACCTGCGGAAGACATCGTCCGTGATCTTCTCGAAGGAGGATGCGGCATTGATCACTGCCCAGCCGCCGATGTCGTTCGACCTCGGCCACATATTAACGCGGCGATCCAAGAACGGGTCGAGCCCATGGCGACCATGGCGATGGCGCAACGAGTCTAAATTGCGCGATCGGTCGCAGTACCCGCGCGCGGCCATCGCCTGTAGCTCGGGGGGGGGGCTGCCGATGCCGCCGAAGGAGCAGCATCAGCAGGTGCCGCCGCCAGCGCAGCGGCAATCGCCGCTGGAGTAGCGGGCGGCGTCGGCGGCGGGGCCTCGGGCGCATATGGGGGCATGGGCGGCGGCGGTGGGTGAGAAGGAGCGGTCGCGGGCGCATGCGCCGGCGGAGGCGGGTGCCCAGGCGGAGGCGGGGGCGCTGGCGCTAGGAGTAGCGGGTCCGCCAACGCCTGGGTTCCCGCGACCGTAGGAAGAGACGGCAGGTCGTCATCGGCCTGCTCCACTTGCTGCCAATAGCATGCCTGTGCCGCGAGTACCTTTGCGAGGGCTGCGGCTGGCGCCCCCATGCCGAGACTGGATGGTACCGATCGGAAACTCTTCGCCGTGAGGTCGTTCCAGTGCGACCCTCGATTGCAAGCGCTTTCAGGAACGGGAACCGATGCGGGGCTCGAAAGACCTCCGTTGAACCAGCGGCGGCGCCGCGCGGAAGCGCCCGGAGGGGACGCTTCGTTCGCGCAGCCGCGATATGTTACATCGGCGAAGGGATTGGAGGAAGGCGTAGGTGTTTTCACCGACGAAGGATTTGAACCCATATTGGCTCCAGGTGATTGAACAGTCGACCACAAACTGTGTCCAAACCCTGGGGCGCACGATCGCGCCGTCGCAGGTCTTTCACCTGGCACGAAAGATTGTGAAGTATCCATGTCTGACGAGTGGGGTTGCGCCTGCTTTGCACGCCGAAGCTCATCCCCACGGCGGGCGTCGGCGCCGCCTCCTCCTGGCAAAGGGGATTGCGCTATCATTCCCTGTCCCGCTGCCCTCTCCGCGTCGTCGCGAACCCCGCGCGCCGCCGAGGAGCCACCGCGCACGCAGGCGCTGGTCTCCCGGGAGGACGATGAGGCGAAAAGCTGGATATCCTTCATCGCATCCTTCGGACAACGGGCGCAGGAATATCAAGTACAATACTCAAGAGGTCCAGCACCTGAACCGAGAGGATAGCAGGAGATATTGATAGAAAAGGGGAGATGAGCGGTCTTCACAAGCACCACCAGCGCCGACGGCAGAGCTTGGGGCCCGCGTGCCAGCGAACTTCTCGACCTTGCGCCGCAACTGGTTGAGCTCGTGGCGTTCTTTGGCGGCCAGTTGCGACATGCCGCTCCACCACGAGCCCAAATCCTTACTCCCACCACCAAACATAACCGCAGCTGCGACACGCGCGCCTAGGGCCCCAAGTCTTCTTGGCTCCGTACTGAGGGCAATCCGAGGCCTTCGGCTGGCTGCTCGCGCCGCTACCGCTGCCCCCGCCCGGGGTGACCGTCCTCGTTTGCTGTCTCCCTTGCCCCCGCCACCGCGTGCAGCACCTCGAGCACCACCTACACCTGCCAGTGGTCGAGCCCGCGCGAGCTGGGCTCGCAATCAGGCGATTGAGGCCAGGCGCCGGAAAGTTCACGGATGGGAGTAGAATGCGGCCGCGAAGGCATTGCTGAAAGCTGGGTCGATTTGGAATCTGGCCCAAGACATGACGCGACGGCTAGAGCCAGCCAAATGGGACCAGACATCTGCCCTCATCGCGACATCTTGAGCCAAAGCGGCTACGGATGATGATGGTGATGATGGTGATGATGATGATGATGGTGATGATGATGATGATTATGATGATGATGGCAACTCTTTTTTGGGCCTCTGGAGACCTTCGGGGGTCCTTCCTACGGTGTTAGGTTGCACCAAGCAGCCTCGAGCCATATGAAACACTCGCTGCAACTTATGCTCTCCATCTCGCGGCCAGTCTGGTGTGGGTTGCTTACGAGTCCTCTCCCCCAAAGCGGGACCAGGACTTGCCCAACGAGAGGAGGAAGAGGGAGGACTGCCGCCTGCACCGCCAACATGTCGTCTGGCCTGTGGGTGAGCAGGGACTCGTCCACCCCGTCCAACCCGCCCGCCGGATCCTCACGCCCGCACTCGAGACCGCTGGCCCCCATGGGACCCTCGGGCTGTGAAGAGGCCTGTCCAAAATTGTGGCATCTATCACACCGCCGAGACGTTGACAAATGTGCTCCGTGTGGCATAAAACATGCACATAAACATACGGGCCAAACACGAGCGTTCGGCGGCCACGCGGACTTCTTGGACTGGCACTGGAGCGGTGGCAGCTGAGCAGGCGGTACGCTGGGCATTCGCCTGTGACTTCGAGGGGGTTCCCGAGGAGACTTCACTGTACGGCCGAGCGCCTCGGGCTCCTCCTCATCCTCCTCCCCCTCTCCTCGTCCTCCTCTTCAACTTACACGTTCCTCCTCGTCCTCCTTCTACTCCTCCTCCCGAACTCTTGCCGTTGTGGAGCATCGAGGGGGTACAGCCACGAGAACGGCGCCTGTACCCCACTGATTCTAAACTAATCCTTGCTCTCCCTGCCTTGTTTGGCGGCGCGCATAGGAGGGTAGGAAGAGGGGGAAGGCTTCTTAGGAGGTTGTTTGTTAGAAGGAGCCGTCCCTACGCCTTTAGACAGGGCCCGCACCTTCTAAGAAACAACCTGCTTCTAAGAGGCCTTCCCCCTCCCCCTACCCCGCTGTGCACGCCGCCAACTTCTGCAACCTCCCACTCTCAGGTCCTCCTCCACATCCTCCTTGCTCTTCAGCCTGCTCAGGGCAGGAGCGCGGGAGGGGCTAGGGAATCGACGGCATCGGTCGAGCCTGTCAGATAAGTCAAGCTCCAGCAACTCCTGCTGTGCTCTCTGTGAGCTTTTGTTGAGCGACTCGCTGATATCTTCCAAGGCGTTAACTCGATCGTCCATGCGCAGTCTGCCCAAAATACTTTCCACGTCTTCCCACTGGGTCCGGTGCTCCAAGCCGTCTGGGTCGTCAGCTGAAGAGAAATCTGACTCCGAGGATGAAGGTGCCTCTGGTCGGAAGAGCTGCGAGTGTATATTTTTCTTCGGCTTCGGTTTCGGCTTCGCCTTCGCAGCATTCTTTGACTTGCCCTTCTGAGCCTCGCTCCTCGCCCCGGGGCCCTGAAAGGACATCCCATACTGCCTGCAGAGCTTGCGGAGAATCTTGAAACTCCGCTGCGCAGTCCGGATGTCCTCGCGGAATTCGATGCTCTTCTGGCTCATCCGCCGGATCGGTGCTGTCGGGCCGGGCGAAAGGGGGGGATAGCAAAGGGGGGGGACAAAATCAGCTCACGTAGCTGATTTTCCCAGCGCCAGAGGCGCCCATGTACCAAGGAATGGGCCCGGCGGCGGGGCCGAAACCAGCTGCATGCAGCAGATTTCGTAACCCACCCTTTCCCTATCCCCCCCGTTCGCTCGGCCCGATGCTGGTGCGGCCGCTGACATGGCTGAGAATGAGGGGGCAACGAGATGGGGGGCCCGGCTCAGGGGGGGGGGGATCGACCTGGAACCGACGATGCATCGCCGATAGAGCTTGAGCAGGGACCGACCGTCCCGGCATTCCTATAGTCCTACCACGAAATGTTCTTAGAACCCAAAAATGTTTTAAGAACAAAAGCAATGTTTTTAGAACATAAACCCCATGTGTTAAAACAAGACAATCTCCGCCAGAATTGTTCTAAGAACATTTCGTGGAAACCACAAGAAGCTTCTTAGAACATTGTTTGGTAGGGCTATAGGCGAGCCAGGACGCTTCGCCACTGCTTGAAGAGCGGCGACGGGCCCCCGAGAGCGAACGCGCAAGTTCCTGGTCGCGGTGGGCCACCAGGCCCCTCTAGCGGATGAGTGAGGGCGATTGGGGGCCGACGCTTGCCCCCCAAAGTCGGGGATGGACAGACCCGACTCTAGTAAAACGTGGTTCAGTGAAAACGACCTGCGGCCCAAACCTGGCGGGCGCAAGCCCAGAAAATAGCGGCCAGGGCGCCCCCCCGAGAACCGAGAACGGACAATTCACGAATCGACGCGTCACTGCTGGGGGTTCTGTCCGTCCACCCCCGACAAAGAGCCTGCCCTGGGGACACCAAAATCAGGGGGACGTAAGACCTGGGTACAGGGGACTCGGAAATCCCCGACGAGGTCGTCAAAAAAATGACGAGGCCGAGCCTGCATTTTGACGAGGCCTCCCGCTGCAGACATCCCACGAAACTCCTCCTCGTCAAAATCCGAGGCGCGGTCGTCAAAAAACGATGGCGAGCCCGAGTCCTGGCAAACCCGGGTCTTGCGCTCCCCCGACAAAATCGGGAGCGGCCAAGAGGGGGGTGTCCAAGAGGGGGGGGTGCAAATCATGGCCGGCGGCATGTGCGCGGCCCAGCGGGGGGGCCAGGGACGTAATGAAACAAGAAGAGGCGCCATGAAATCTGGGGAGATATCATGGCCCCCGCCATGATATCCACCCCCCCCTAGTCATCACCCCCCTCTTTTCCGCCCCCAACAAAAGGCACCGCCGCTGCTGCTCCCGGGACCTCTCCCGGGGCGCGCCCCGGCCGAGACTCCGCGGCGAACCCGGCGGCCGGCGGCGACGCCGGAGGCCCAGGAGGCCCCAAAAAAAGGGCCGTCGGGGGGGAGGGCATATGAGGTACGGGTCCCTGCACTCCTCTGAGACCCACCCCTGGCGGAGGAGGAGGAGGAGGGAGGAGGGGGGAGGGGGAGGAGGAAGGAGGAGGAGGGAGGAGGGGGAGGAGGAGGAGGGGGGAGGGAGGAGGAGGGGGGAGGAGGAGGAGGAGGAGAGGAGGAGGAGGAGGAGGAGAGGAGGAGGAGGAGGAGAGGGGGAGGAGGGAGGGGGAGAGGAGGAGGAGGGAGGGAGGGGGAGGAGGAGGAGGGAGGAGGACGGAGGAGGAGGAGGAGGAGGGAGGAGGAGGAGACGCTGCCCCCGAGAGCCGTGGCCCCCCGGCCGAGCGGCGACCTGCCGCGCCCGCGCTGCGCCTCAGTCCTCGGCCATCCGCCCGCGCCCCCGGAGCCTCCGCCGCGCCGCCGCGCCGGGGCCGCCCGGCCAGCCGACCGCGCGCCGCCGGCCTGGGCCAAAACGGGCCCCGTCGCTGGCCATCGCTCGGACGTCCATTTCCGGTGCTCGTTTCGGTTTCGTGCGTGGCTTTGTCGAAGGAAACATGCACACGTCCGAGCGATGCCAAGCGTCGTGGCGCGCGCGCCCTACAGGGAGGTGTTCGACGGAAAGGAAAACATACGCAAAACATGCTCCAAGATGGTCAAGAAAAATACTCCCAAAACAGTCCCCGGACTATTTTTGGACTGCTTTGGAAGATTCCTTCTGTAGAGGGACGGGCCCGACGCAAGCCAAGACAGGCCCCGTCGTGGCGCGCGCGCCCTGCAGGGAGATGTTCGACGAAAAGGAAAACATACACAAAACATGCTCCAAGATGGTCAAAAAAATAGTCCAAAAACAGTCCCCGGGCTATTTTTGGACTACTTTGGAAGATTCTCTCTGCAGAGGGACGGGCCCGACGTGAGCCAAGAGGGGCCCCGTCGTGGCGCGCACACCCTCGGAGAATGGCTGGGCCGCGGCAGGCCGGGCCCTCATGGGGGGAGGGAGGGTCAAGGGGCCCAAGGACACACAAATAAATACACACAAATAAAATGATTCCCCATATTTTCCCATATGTTCTGGGTTTTTGTCTTCCCCCCCAATTCCCATATTTTCCTATATTTTCCTAGGGGAATCGACGATTCACTGTGTCTGTGTGTTTTTTCCTCTCCTGAGAGGGGAAGGAAGCGAGGATCGGCGGCGCGCCGAGTGGCACCGGCTTCGGCGCTGCGTTTTCTGTTATGACCGGCTCCGGGGATGGGATCCCAGAGAGAGCAGGGAAGTCAGCACAACTACAGTCATCGGCCTGACCTAAGGAACGATAAATAAGGAACGAAGTCCCTTTTTTATTCCAAGGAATAGCGCATAAGATACGATAAACAATAAATAACGCATAAGGAACTGTAAATAACGCATGCAAGCCTAAGGAACGACCGAGCCCCTTTTGAAAAGTAAGTGTTCATTATTCAAGCCGCTCACTGTACCAGAGAGAGCAGGGAAGTCAGCACAACTATAGAACCAGCAGTGCACCAAGGGGGGAAGGCTGAGGGGGGGGGCGGGCCTTGTCGGAAGGCTCAGAAGGCCTCCTGGCCTTCTGAGAGTCTTTCCAGACCCTCTCCCAGGCAACGGGCGGCTTCTCTGAAGGCCAGAGAGCTTCTGAGAAGCCCCGCCGCCTTCCGATGCCTGCCCCCCTCTCCCTTCCCCCCTCCCCAGGAGCGCCGCCGACTGGAGGGAGGGTTGGGGCGGGACGGGAGGATGGAAGGGGGATGGAGGAGGAGCGGAGGAGGAGCAACAGGGAGGGAAGGATGCGGGAGCAGGGCGGCGGCGGCGTCCATTAGGAACGCGCGCCTGGCAGGCAGGACAGGCTGCACCGAAAAACCCTGATCATCATGGTCAAACTGTGCATATACATATATATATATATATACAAAACTGCATTGGCGCTTCGCGCCAATGCAGTCTTGTTCCGGACGCTTCTCAGAAAAGCAATAAGCCATCGCGTGTTTCAGCATATGGGGCGTCGAGAGACCGAATACGACCACGATCACGAGGGCCACCACCACCACCAGCGCCACCACCGCCACAACCACCACCACGACGACGACGCCGACGACAACGACGACGACGAAGACGATGGAACTCTCGTCTGAACTGCAGATGGGGCGCTCGTCTCTCGAGGGCCTCTGGAAGCTTCCGATGGGACCAGGAGCGCTCAGAAACTTGGCCCTTCCTCGTCGTCGTCGTCGTCTTCCTCCTCCTCCTGCTCCTCCTCTCGGGCAGGCCGCGGGAGCGAGAGCTCGAGGCGTCAGTAAGCGGGCCACGTAATAATGAGGCGGCAGCCCGCGATGACAGGCCGAGACCTCCTGCTCCTCCGCAGGACGACGACGACGGCGGCGACGACGATTGGTCGCTTCCTGAATGCCTGGATGGGATCCTGGACGCTTGTGGGGCTTCTGAGGTCCTTTCGAACCACCGTCCTGCGAACTTCGGCCTCGTCCTCGTGGAGTGTAATGTAAGAGAACAGCTGGACGCTATATTGGAACGGTGTGGGCTCGCGTTTGAGCTCCTCGTGACTCTCCGGACCAGAGGACTCCTTTTGGGGCTGTTTTGGGCCGTCTTGGAGCTGTCTTGGGCCGTTCCGGAACCCTCTTTTGGCCGTTTTGGGAGGCCGGGCCGGCCAGGGTCTTCTCGGGGGTCTTCTGGGGACACTCTTGGGGGCCTCCTGTGGCTCTCTTGGGGCTCTCTTGGGAGTCCTCGGGGCCCTCTGGGGCACCTCTTGGGCCGCCTTGGGCTTCTCTGGATCCGTCTTGGAGCTCTTTTGGGCCGCCTTGGGCCGCTCATAGAGGCCTCGGAGGCCGTCCTGGGGCGATCTTGAGAGTCTCTCTGGGGATGCCGTGGACGCTGCGAAAGCGGAAAAAGCTAATATCTTCAAAAGCGTACGTTTCCTCAGGGAATGGGACGATTTTTGACTCTTGGGGGTCCCTTTTGGGGCCTCTCGGACCGTCTTGGGGGCCTCGTGGGCCGTCTTGAAACCATAATGGGTGTTCTTTGAGCGCTGATGGGGCCGTCTTGAGGCCCGTTTTGGGCCCGTGGGCTCCGATCGGCAGGGGCGTCCAACTGCCCGGAAGTCCGCAGGGACTCCGAAAGGGCGTCCAGGGCGTTCGTTGGGTGGAGGGCAGGGGCGTCTGGGGTGTCCTGGGGGGGGGTCCGGTTTAGGGGGGGGGGGGGAGGGAAAGGGTTCCGGGTAATAAGAATAAAATAATAGGAATACATATAGAGAGAGGGAGAGAGAGAGAGAGAGAGAGCATTGTATTCTACACTGGGCACAAAAGCGCGTACGGGAGAAACCATACGACAGGCCACGGGCCACGAGTCACCGATTCTGGGCCCGGCGGACCTCGCACGTGCACCGAAGAGATGCGCAGAATCCTTACACAGTTCCTGGACTGCGCACCATGCGGAGTCATTGCATTGTTCGCGGGGGGGGCGCTTCCACGGTTGGCGCCCGCACCCGTGGCCCGCACGCAGGAACAAAGGAAGCAGACCCACAACCAGCCGAGGAGGCCATCCGATCGACGTCACAAAAAACTCTCCAAGTTCGGGGCCGCTCGCGTCGCGGCTCCTCCTGTGAAGGCTCCGCTGCCCGAGGCTCTCTGCCTCGGCGCGGGAGGGGAATCCCAGAAGGGCGAACCACCTAGCGAGGTTGACGCCGCACCCGTGAGCAGAGCAAAACACAGGACGGATCATGCAACCAACGCCGCCACGTAACGCAGCTGGAAGGTGCTGATACCTCTACTCCCCGGACCCCTCCCGGGGGCGCTCTGCACGTAATCTCGAGGCGACTCCGGCCGCGTCGACGGCGGCCTCCCCTGGGGGGCCCCGGAGGCGAGCACGAGGAAGGGCGGCGGTATCGGCACCTGTTCCTCTTCTCCTCCCCCCCTCCCGCTTCGCGCGGGCTCCCGCGCAAGAGTCAAGCTGGAGACCGACTGCAGAATTCACTCAGCCCGAAATTGATATTCGCGCGGCGAGTCTACGGAAAAAACAGGCGCAGGCTCTTCCGTAGCTCTGCGGAGCAAGCTACATATTTCTCGTAGATCGGACTGAAACATCAAAGCTGGGGTACATCAATTCAGTACTAAGTCGGGCGTGTCCCCCTACAGGGGGATTTTCGACGAAAAGTAAAAACTACCCCAAAAATAATCAAAAAATAATCCAAAAATAGTCTGGGGACTAATTCTGAATATTCTCTGACCTTTTTGGTGTATTTTTGGGGTATGTTATATTTTTCGTTGAAAATCCCCCTGTAGGGGGACACGCCCGGCATAAATTCAGTAGTCGATCCCCCTCTCAAAAGGGGCCGCGGGCAGCGACGGACCACCACGCCCCCCGGGTTCAGCACGGCCCGCAGCCCGTCCAGGCACGCCAGCGGCTCCTCCCCCGGGCCCGCGCGCCGGTGCTCTCTTCCACGCCGAGGGGGGCGCTCCTCTCCGTTCTTTTCCTCCCCCTCTCCTCCTCCCCCTCCTCCCCCTCCTCCTCCTCCTCCTCCTCCTCCCTCCTCTCCTCCTCCTCCTCCTCCTCCTCCTCCTCCTCCTCCTCCCCCTCCGCCTCCTTCTCCTCCTCCCCCCGTCCTTTTCCTTCCCCTCCTCCTCCTCCTCCCCTCCTCCTCCCCCTCCCTTCCCCCCCCTATCCCCTTCCGCATCCTCCGACTCGTCGTCGTACTCCTCTCCCGTGAGGCCGCCCAGCAGGGGGCGCAGCGGATCCCAAGACAGAGCCAGGACGAGGATGGGATCGGGCACGGATCACATCGAGAATCTCTGTGATCCGGCGGGACTGGAGGCTGTATCAGGCGCCGCGGCCACTTCAAAGCGCTCCAGAACGCTCTGGAACGGCTCTATCCTCGACCCAGCCCCGACCGAAGGGGCCGCGGAAATCCAACTTCGGATCCCCTGCTGTGCTCAGGAGGCGACTCCTGGGAGGTCTGCGTCAGGAGGATCTAGGCCTGTGGGGTCGAGGAAGGGACCACTGCGCTGGGTCAGGCCGGATGAAGCCTGAAATATATACGACCCGACCCAGCGGGCTTATCAACAGGATTGAGCGGGGTCGGAAGCCGATGCAGGCCAGCTTTCGCCCAGGCCTTTCTCTATCCTCGCCCTGGCCCCGCCAAAAGAAAGGTCCCAGATCTGCGACGAGAGGACGTGCTCAGCCCAGGCGCTTCTTTTTTGTCCTCCGCGCTCGGCCCCGAGGGCCCGATGTCGGCGCCAGGGGGACCATGAAGAACACATCCCCCGGGCGCTTCTCCTCGACTCGGGCGGCCCGGGCCCGCCCGCTGTCGGGCCCGGAGGCGCGGGACACATGCTCCGGGGGAGGGGTGGTGGGGAGCTGCCCGCCTGGGAGGGGGTCGGGAACCCTGGGGCCGAGCGCTACCAGAAATCACGGCGTCGGACGTCTGGGGTCAGAAAGCGCGAGAGGCATGGCCGATGCCCCACCCTAACGTTCATTACCCGGACCTTCCAGGAGGGCTAAAAAATAGCACCGGGACCTCGACATCTTAATTCCCGTCGAGGTTTTAGGCAGCCCAGATAGGTCTATAGGTCTGGAGGGCTATTTTCTAGCACTCTGGAAGGTCAGGGTACGGGGGGGGGCGTAGGGTGGTGATGGCAACGTGGTCGGGCCCCGCGGGGCGGGCCCGGGCACCGGACGAGGATGGCGACACCGACAACGACAACGACGACGACGACGACGGCGACGACGGCAAAGACAACGACGACAACGACGACGACGACGACAACCACGACGACGACGGCAACGACGACGAGGACGAAGACGAGGACGGGACAGAGAAAGACGACAACGACGAGTACGAAAAAAAAATGACGCGGACGAGGACGAGGCCGACGAAGACAAGGACGACGAAGAGGACGACGACGACGGCGGCCGCCTCTGAACGTCTCTGGGGTTTCTGGAGGCCTCGGGCAGTCTTTGGGGACCTCTGGATAAGTCTGGATGCCATTTGAAGCCCTCGGCGACGACGACGACGAGGACGAGGAAGAGGAGGACGAAGAGGAACGTAACGACGGCATGGACGAGACGAGGACGAGGACGACGACGACGATGACAAGGAAGGGGGCGAGGACGGGGACGACGACGATGACGATGCCGACGATGACGGAGACGACGACGCCGATGACAAGGAAGGGGACGAGGACGGGGACGACGGCAACGACGATGACAAGGAAGGGGGCGAAAACGGGGACGACGACGACGACGTTGCCGACGGTGACGAAAACGAGGACGGCAACGACGACGACGACGACGCCGAGGACGACGAGGAGGACGAGGAGGACGAGGACTGCGAAGACAACGAAAACGACGAGGACATTCCCGAAGACAACGACGACGACGGCGACGGCGACGACGACGACGACGACGACGACGACGACGACGACGACGGCGGCCTTTGAACGTCTCCGGGGCCTCTGGAGGCCTCAAGAGATCTTCGGGGACCTGTGGAAACGTATGGACTACCTTCAGAACCCTCGGCGACGACAAAGACAAGGACGGAGAGGACGAGGAGGACAAGGAGGAGGAGAAGGAGGAGGAAAACGTGTTCGAAAAGGACGAGGGCGGGGGCGACGACAACAACGACGACAACATCGACGACGACGAGAAGGACTAAAGCGAGGACGGGGCCGACAACGACGACGACGACGTTAACGACTACAACAACGACGACAATAACGGCGAGGACGCTGACGACGACAAAAATCACGACGACGAAGTCGACGGCGACAACGACGGCGCTGACGCTGACGACGACCGCCTCTTAAGGTCTCGTGGAATTCCCAAAGACTTCGGAGGCCATCAGAAACTTCTGGAAGCCTCCGGGGGCCCCTCGAAACCGTCGGCAGCAACAACGACGACGACGACGCGGACGGGGACGAAGACGACGGCGAAGACGACGACGACGACGACGACGTTGACGACGAGGTTGCCGACGACGACGACGACTCTGACAGTCTACGAAGGTCTCCGGAAGCCTTAGGGAGTCTCTGGACGCCGGTGAAGCGCCTGCAAACCGTGCGAAGCCTTCGTACACGACGACGACGACTACAACGACGAAAACGACGACGACAACGACGACAACGACGACGACGACGACAACCACGACGACGACATCAACGACGACGAGGGTGCCGACATCGACGACGACAACGACGACCATGACTGCCACCCCTGCAAGCATCTGGATTGTCGTTGGTCATGTGTTCTACACTATGTGCATAACGGCCCAACCAATGGCAGGATTTTTCCTGGACGGCATCACCTTCGTCTTCTCCTGTCTCAAAGGGTCTCTTTGAGAGGGCCTTGTGCATGATGCGCCCTGTCATGGTGATCCACGCCTTGGCGGCGACCATTTCTTCCACCTGCGAAGCGTGGCCAGCGCTCCACAAGCAGGTTCGCCGATCGCCCACTCGAGGCGCAGCTTGTTGCTTGCGCCGAACGCCCACATCGGCGGGCGGCTGGGTGACGACATGACGCAGGCAGGAGCCAAACTCAACGACTTCCCCCACCCGCGTCCGGCGCTGGGGCAGCCGAGCCCTCGCGCGGTGGCCGTCGGAACACCGCGCGCGGGAGCGCCAACCCCCAGACCAAATGACAAACTACAGCGCACACCTTGCGCGTAGCGTTCGCTCACGACGCAGCGGCAAAAATTCGATTGCTCGAAGGACCCGTCATTTATTCGACGGAACCATGCACCCCAGCGGTGCTCGCTCAGTCGCAAAGGCGTCACCTCTGCTCGCGGCGACGTCAACCAGATCATACTTCAGCCGCCGCTACACTTTTCTCATTTGTCACATTTCTCGGAATCGTAGTCCCACGGAAACTTGCATCGTTCGTCCTTGCGCTGCCCAGAGCTAGTTTTCAAATTCATCTTCGCGCCAACGCCATCGGCCATAGCTTCCTAAAAACAATTGGAACAAAGCCCGGGGGAAGGGAGTCTAAGCAGACGATTTGAACGTAGAGGGGGTGGCCCGATGGCGACGAGGGGAAACAGCGACGAAGACGGCGGGGAGGAGACCCATGCGGACAGTGGGTCTGTAGCAGGAACATCCACCACGCTGCGCGCTGTGGCTGGCCCACCCATGCATGCGTCGCGCGGCGCGTGCCATGACATGTGAAGTGCGACGATTCGGTTGGAAGGCGTGCGATCATGGTCATGTTCACATGTTCTTCCGTGCGTTCGAAATGCGCGAATTGTTTATAGGAGCGCGCCGTTGAAACGGGCGCGGCGCGTGGGCGGGCGTTCTGCCCTTCAGAACGGAAGCACATCCCCGAAAACTTCGACCACGTGTCTCTGGGGACCACGTTGTTTCACGTTGTGATTGGCTACTGTACGCTTTGAAGCGAGCATGGTGGAACTGTTGGAATGATTTGGTTTCGGAATACTTGGTTGTTAGAACGAGTCGTTTGGAAGCGAGAACGGATTCTTCCAGCGATTATCGTCATGAATTGGCATTGTTGGAATATTTGGTTTTCCTGGTTCTGGTTCACATATGGCGGGGCTCTGAGCCTGCCAGCCCGTGGATCCTTCCGCACTTGACGGGGTCCCAACATGCTGCGGGCCAAAGCTACCGTCCTCGATTTGACCATCATGGCGTTGATCAGAAGCCTGCCAACAGACCTCTACATCGTCGACATTCATGTTGAGGACGGATTCATGGTCATCGCCAGTGGTGAATTGGACTTGACCCTTATCGTCCTGGTTTTCTCCAACCCGCGGATTGGGATGGCCGGCCCCGGCAAGGCCCCTGTCAGGAAGGTCGGCGCCGTGCGCTGCAAGATGCGCCTCTGGGTCCGTCCACGCCTCGCCAAGGTGCGGCACGATCACCTTCCCTGGGGCAGATTTGGTCGCAATCATGTTTTTACTCGGCCTGCCTGGCGCCGACCAGAAGATTGGAGGCCACCGTGTCCCGTGATCACGCCATCGCGGGGGCCCTCGTTCACTGCTTGGGTTCAGGTCCGAGTCGCGTTTTTCTTCCCTGGGAGTGAAACTCCGACGGGGCTTGCAGCCACATTGCAGCTGCGATGAAAACCGACATCTGGATCAACGTATGAGACCTCGTGGTGTGTTTCCCAAACATCCTGCGGTTTGGGGTCCTCGTTTTGAAAAAACGGCCCCCGCGTTCCTCTCCTTTTTCTCCTCCTTTTCCCCCTCCTCCCTCCTCCTCCCTCTCCCATGCGCTTCACCCACCCAGCGCGCCGCTTCGTGGCCCCATAAGGGGGCTCCAACGAAGGTCCCAATGGCACCGCCCGCGTGCGTCCGCCACCACCCAACGCAGCCCTTGCTCCCTGCGTTTCACCTACCCAGTACAACGCTTCGTGGCCCCATAAGGGGTCTCTGCCGAGGATCCCAATGGCACCGCCCGCGTGCGTCCGTCACCACCCAGCACAGCCCTTGCTCCCTGCGTTTCACCCACAGAGTAAAACGGTTCGTGGCCCCATCGGGAGCTCTACGGGAGGTTCCAATGGCACCGCCCGCATGCGTCCGCCACCACCCAGCACAGCCATTGTTCCCTGCGTTTCACCCACCCAGCACAGCGCTTCGTGACCCCCTAGGGAGCTCCACCGAAGGTCCAAGTGGCACCGCCCGCGTACGTCCGCCACCACCCAGCACAATTGCGGCATTCACAACAGCATGTGGTTGGGTCCGTCGCCAGGCGAATGTCATTCAATTCTCTCGGGAGGTTTCGGCTGATAGCCTGTTGTGGGTCGGATGCTCTACACGATCTGCATAACAACCCAGACAAGGCGATGTAATTCCCACATCAGGGGTCTCGTTCATGATGTGTCTCTTCATGCTGCTCGACGACATGGCGGCGACTCTTTCTACCACTTGCGAAATGCGGCCAGCGCTCCACAGTCAGGTTCGCCCGACACATCCCTTGATGTGAAAAGGTTGCTTGAGCCAAGCGCCCGCAGCGGCGGGCCGATGTGTGATAATTTGACGCAGGCAGGAGTGAATGCTATCGACTTGGGCGCTCTCTGGTGCCTGTCAGCATCACACCATGCCCGTAAGCACAGCACTATAGCTGTGGGGTCTGGGACTCGGGATCCCCTCCCCGTACGCTCGTTACCTTTAGGGGAAGGTGGACAAGGCGACCCCCACCCGTGACAGAAGTCACGCGCTTAACGAATGAAAAGCAATCTCAGGCGGCCCTGGCCCAAAGTGGCCCAAGCTTTCCCAGGGAGGTGCAGATGGCTTCCAGGGCAACCAACACGAGGCCCAGAGGGCCCCGGAGGGCCCCAAGCCTGGGAATACCCTGGGCAAGGACCACGTCTTGCAAGACCCAAGACGTCGGGACTCAGACCGCGCCGCAGCGCCGATGCGTCGGCACATGCGGCGTGATCCAGCGCGACCCCCATCCGCTCGAAGCGCCGCTTGGACGGCCCAGAGGCGCGAACCCTCCCTGCGCACAGACACGGAGGGCCTAAACACATCATGAGCATGAGCATGCACCTTGGCAGGTCCCGTGGCCCCCCCTCCCTATACCTCCTCCTAGTGCGCCCTGCGCTGGCTTTCTCACAGCTCAGCCGTGCATCCCTGAACTGACTAGATGCGTACCCAATCACGCCGCCCAGCGCGGCTGACGTGCAACTCGCCCGAAGCCTGCTGCCAAACGCTCGGCCTGCCCGTGACGCGAACTCGCGCAGCTTGCAACCGGCCCATGGCCTGTCATCTAGGTGCCTGTAACTTCTCCAGGTAACAAGGGGATGGGAGCGGAAAAAGAGGACCAGGAGTCTTACCGTGGACCCTGCTACCCGCGCAGTCTGTCGCCCCCATGGGGTTCAGAAGCGCCAGCCCAAGAATCCACTCGCGAAACAAGGAGTAAGTAGCGTGGAACAGGGAGTAGAGGGGTAGGATCGGATCGGCAACTCCGCGGACAATCTCAAGCCAAATCGAACACCTGACAAGCTTTCCTCCTCCTCCTCCTCGTCCCCCGGTTCCCCTCCCGCAGGCTTCTCCTTCGCACGCAAGCTCCTGCGGCCCCTCTTGGAACCCTCCCGTACCTCCGAGAGCACAGTAGAGTCTCCGGGAATCCGAAGCAGCTCCCGGGGAGCGGACACGCAAGTCCTCCTCGTCTCCCTCTCCCTCTCCCTCTCCCTCTCTCCTCCTCCTCCTCCTCCTCCTCCTCCTCCTCCTCCTCCTCCTCCTCCTCCTCCTCCTCCTCCTCCTCCTCCTCCTCCTCCTCCTCCTCCTCCTCCTCCTCCTCCTCCTCCTCCTCCCTCCTCCTCCTCCTCCTCCTCCTCCTCCTCGTCCCCCCTCCCTCCGCCCCCTTCCCACCTCGGGCCACCTGCCTCCTCGCAGCTCGCCCATCGCCCTCCCCCTGTGCTCCTCCTCCCCGCCCCCCCCGCAACGGGGGCGGAGAGCACATGGGGGGGAACGCCGCGCCAATTCAGGGGCAGCGATCGTCCATGCGTTCGACGAGGCGACGACGACGAGAACGAGAACGAGAACGAGAACGAGAACGAGAACGAGAACGAGGACGACGACGACGACGACGACGACGACGACGACGACTTTCTCATCCACCCTTACTCCTGCGCGGCGAGCGCCATCTTCGCGCTCTCGCGCCGCCAACCCTGTACAGGGGCACCCGTACGGCCAGGAGCCTCCCAACGCAGGCCTTCGGAAGGCCTGGACGCCTCCACATGTCTCCGAAACTTCTGGAGGTCTACATAGGGACCAGAAACGTCAAAACATGTGAGCGAGATGGCAAAATGATGTTCGCCGTAGGTTTGTCATCTGATGGCGAACTACGGGCCCGAGAACGCCCCCAAGATGCAAACGGCGCGAACCAGAATTTCCGCCGATGCTTCTTCCCGCGGCGGCCAGGGGGGTGGGCCTCGCGGTCGAAAGACCGATCCCCGGCCCTGTCCTGTGAGGCATGTCCCGACCAGAACTTCGAGGCGGATCCAACCGCGGCCACGAGGATGATCTCGAAGACCAGCCTCCGCCTCCCCCCCAACAACGAAAACTAACTTCAGAATGACAAGCGCTGTACCGTGCCCACCTCGACCGTGCCGAACACCTCGGCTATTCGCAAGAGTGACCCTGGGGAAGAGTGACCCTTGGTGCGCGGATTTCTGGGGGCCGCGGGGAGACCAGACCTGGGCGCGCAAGCCCCTGCCGCCGCTCCGTTTTCAGCCATCTGGGGGCCCATCTGCGCCCGCACCAATCCATTCACTCTCCCTCCGGGACTTCGCCCCCGGCTCCTGTCCATGGCGTACCTTGTCCTGTGCAAGATCTTCGGCACCGCCTGTACTCTGCACCCTCCAGCCGCCTGAGGCCCCGCCCGCCCGCGCCCTGTCCCCCCCAAATGGGGCTTCGCGCGCCCCGCCTAGCTTTTAACCGGAAGGGGCCCGCTCCCGACCCGCCGACCAAAAAAGCGCCCGCACCAAAGGTCTCTCCGGCGAAAGGTCCCTCTTGCGCCCAGCCGCACACCGCCCCCCGCGGGCTCGCTCCGGCAGCCGGCACAGCAGGTTCGCGAGCACCGCGCCGTCGAAGGTGCCGAGCTCCTCCCCCGGAAGCTCGGCGGCGAGACACGGGCCGGGAGGCGGAGGAGGAGGAGGAGGAGGAGGAAACAGAGGAGGAGGAGGAGGAGGAGGAGGAGGAGGAGGAGGAGGAGGAGGAAGGGGAGGGAGGGGGGGGGGGCAGGAGGACGAGCAGGTCAGCAGGGCGATGCCGCTGCTTCCTCTCGCAGGCGAGCTTCCTCCCCAAGCCCTCGACTTTTTCAACGGAAAGTGAGGCCGCTCAGAAGAGGAGAGAAACCCTGGGATCGGGGATGGACAGAGCCCCCTTTAGCAAAACGTGGTTTAGTGAAAACGACCACGGGCCCAAATCTGGCGGGCGCAAGCCTGGAAAATAACGGCCACGGCGCCCTCTCGAGAACCGAAAACGGACAATTCACTAATCGACGTGTCACTATTGGGGGTTCTGTCCAGCCCCGATGGGATACACCCCCAGGGGGGCCATTCGGACGTACCCCTATCTGGGATGGACGTCCCCCCATCGTAATCACATCCTGGCGTCGGGCCCCAGATCTCGGGTCCATTCGAGAACCCCACGACGCCTGGGATAGGGGCCGACATATCCCCTGTTATCCTCGCTGTTGGCCACCGGGGCCCGCCCCTCATCGCCAGGACGAAGTAAGCACAAGCCACACAAGCAAGTCAGGATGGCGCCCCGAGGGGACTCCGGGGCACTTGTATTTCAAGGGACTCTTCCCCGAGGCGCGCGAACGGTACCCCCATTCGGGGATGGATACAACCCCCTTTAGTAAAACGTGGCTCAGTGAAAACGACCTCGGGCCCAGACCTGGCGGGCGCAAGCCTGGAAAATGATGGCCGCGGCGCCCGCTCGAGAACCGCAAACGGTGTCAGGGTCGGGCGAACGCGCGGCCGCCGCCAAAGAGGAGGAGGAGGAGGAGGGGGAGGAGGAGGAGGAGGAGGATGAGGAGGCGGAGGAGGAGGAGGCGGAGGAGGGAGAAGGACGAGGGAGAAGGAGAAGGGAGAAGGAGGAGGGAGGAGGGAGGAGGGAGGAGGGAGGAGGAGGAGGAGGAGGAGGAGGAGGATTCAAGTGGGATTCAAGCGGGGCAACAGCGTTGCAGGCCAGGAGGGGATTCTGTCCACCCCCGACCCACGCCAGTCCTGTCCAGGCCGTTCCTGGGCCAAGGGTCAGCAGGGCAAGGAGCAGTGCGGGTGCGTAGCGGCTCCCCGAGGCAGTGCGGTGACCACACCGTGTGGTGAGTCAATGGGGAGTCGGGGCGACTGCACGATTCTGGGACTTGGCTCGTTCTGCGAGAACGTCTGGGGCAGCTGGGGCCTCCCGGGTCCCAGAAACGTGCGGTGACGGACCGTGCAGTGGGGTCCTCGTGGACTTCGAGGCCACCGCACGGTTCGGTGGCAACTCAGGGGAGCCTGCAATGCCATCTTGCTGGCTCTTGCGATTCGACGCTGACCGACGCTAATACGTCGACACTAAGCGACGCTAGATTGGCGCTTGCTCATCTATTACCAGACGCTAGCGCACGCGAATGCACTCTAAACGTGAAAGAAGTGTGTAACCAGGCGCTTTAACACGGCGAGATCCCCTGACTAGGCTACAGTCCCATGAACTTTACAAGGCTCATGCGACCCTTACCGGACAGGGACGTGAATTAGCAACAGCATGTCTCCAGCTAAGGCCCACAAGGTCTTGGGGTCTAAGGGGAGGGGGGGAGGAGGAGGAGGAAGAGGAGAAGGAGGAGGAGGAGGAGGAGGAGGAGGAGGAGGAGGAGGAGGAGAAGGAGGAGGAGGAGGAGGGGGGGAGGGGGGAAGCCTCATGGCCCAGAAGGCCCGTCCACGGGTCGACACGATGACTTACGCTGGGGGACGGCGGCCAAACCTGACAAACTGGACCCGACCGAGGCGTCGCTGACACAAGCTGTGTGCGAGACGAGCAGAGTTTTGTGCGGTCTGCTGCTCAGTCGCATGTGCTGCTGAGTCGCCTGCAGCACGGCCTCGGGCGAACCAATGACGACGGTGATTAGAACTGTGGAAACGAGCACAAACCGAGAGGTCTTGTCATCGCTCAAATTCGCAGGAACGTATCACAGGACAGAACCACGATTGTCTTCCAGTAAGGAAAATGGAGGGAGGGTGTATTGCACCATCGTTTGGTGAAAGTCAAACTGCTGATAATCCCGGCCAGTCCCAGCCGGTAAGTATCCGAAGTGACGGAAGAGCCGATCACTTCAGATCTGAACGCTTCGCTGCTTCCCTGGTGCGGCATACTAGAGGAACGCGTTCCCCCGTAATGCACATCCGTTGTGTTTTCTGAGCTGAAGCAGTTTTGTTGAGCTCATAAGAAATCGTTATGTTATCCATTTGCTGGTAACACGTCTTACCCCCAGGAGAGGGGGGGAACGGTCAGGGGGGTAACGGAAACGGCGGCCGCGGCGTGCACCCGCCAAGGTGGGTCCGCGCCACCACACCGATAGTGAATCCCGACGTTCCTGGGTGGGGTGGGGCTATCGGGCCCCGATCGGCGATGAACAGACAGTGGGGGGGGTCGATGCATCGCCCCCGAATCCCCCAATATCGTTGCCACCGAAGAAAAGGCGACACCACCACCACCACCACCACCACCACCACCACCACCACCACCACCACCACCACCACCACCACCACCACTACCGCAACCAGCAGGACCTTGGCGCCCACCCTGACGATGTGTGTGCGCCCATCGTCACACCTTTCTGGTTTCGCATCTTTTTTTATTTTTGGTGGAGCCCGCAGCCGCCAACGAGCAGGTCGGAGGCCTGGCGCGACCTGGGCTCCAGAACCAGCGCGAGGCGCCAGGAAGGGCCCTCCGGGCGGTGCGGCCCGCCCCACCCTCTCGCGCGAGACGCTCCCCACCGCCAGCTCGGGGAGGCGTCGGGGACCTCCTCGCTTGAGGTGGCCCCCCTTGTTTGGGCGCCCGAGTGATCTGGGGTAACTCGGGTCCGGGGTAACTCGGGTTTGGATTCCCGTAAAACGAACCCGAGTTAGCCCTGACCCGAGTTACCCCTGATGATTTGGGGGCTCTGGACGCCCGAATTATCCGGGGCAACTCGGGTCCGGGGTAAATCGGGTTCGAAATCCCGAAAAACGAACCCGAGTTAGCCCTGACCCGAGTTACCCCTGATGATTCGGGGCTCTGACTTGTGGTGGTGTCGCCTCTTCCTGGCGGCGCGCACAGGGGGGGCGGGGGGAGGGGGGAAAGCGTATTCTTGGAGGGAGGCTGCTTCATGAAGGCGCCGGCCCTACATCTGCAGACAAGGTCCGCGCGACTTTCGAGAAGCAGGGGTGCTGCCGAGAAGCCTTCCCCTTCCTCCCCCTGCCCGCCTCTGCGCGTGGCTGAGGTGGCCCCCCTGGTGGCAGTGTCGCCAATCCTTTCCCCGACATCCCTCCGAAGGCCTCCGCGAACCGGCCGACCCGTCTGGGTGAGTGCCAAACGGCGCGGGGCAGGCAAGCCACTGAGCCGTGCGCTCGTCGTGTCCTCCTCCTCCTCACCATCGCACCATCGCTTGGACGTCCTTTCCTCGTGCATGTTTCGGTTCCGTGCGTGTTGTTTTCCCTCGCAAAAGGTGGCCCAGGATGCGCCCCGATGGTTCTTGCCGAGAAGAGGTACACACGTCCGAGCGATACCAGGCCCCCCCTCTTGCCCTCCCCGCCCTTTCCTCGTCGGTCGCGTCGTCCCCCTCTACTTCTGGCTGCTCTTCCCCCCCTCTGTGTGGACGCCCGAAGTGGGCACGGAAAGCATGGGTACAGTGCCCAACAACAAATGTTGCCCCAAACCAACAGCGGCCGCTGTTGGGCAGCCGGCCCTCTGTCTCAAGTGGACACATGCCGCGGCGACACCGCCAGCGAGCCCTGCTCAACATGAACAAGAACTGCTGTTGAGCATTGTACCCAGTCTTTCCGTGCCCATTTCGATCGCGCCGCATCGCCGATGCATCGACGATGCACGGGCGATGCCGGCGATGCATCGCCGACGTCGACGTGAAACAAGTCGGGCTCCACATCGAGGCGCATCGCCGATGCATCGGCGATGCGGCGCGATCCTCCGACCCCATCTACTCCGACCCCATCTAGAAGGCCTAGAATCATTCTTTCCGTGCCCATGTCGGGCGTCCAGACCTCCGGGCCCCCCCCTCCGGGCCGCCCGAGGAGGGCGCGGTGGCCGCCCTCCTGCGCCGAGAGCCGGCAGGCGTCCCCCGTCTGGAAGGCGGTGCGGGCCTCGCGGGCGGGAGCGGCGCTTCGGCACCCCGGGGGAGGCCACGCGGGCCGCCCGCCTCCGAGGTGGGGTTGGCAGGCGCTGGGCGGGCTCCGGAGAGGGCTCCCGCCAATGCGTCGGGGACGTCAACTTCCCTGGGGCATCGTGGCGAGGCGGCCAAGCCTGGGCCCCCCGGCACCGCGAGCCCGGTAGAGGACGACAGCATCCCCCGCTCCCGCCTCCTTCGAGCTCCGCCCGCGCCCTCCTCCTGGTCCCTGCCTCGTCGTCCTCTGCCTCGAGTTCGTCGCCCGAGCATCCCTTCTCGCTTGGCCTCTGGGCCCAGCCCGTAGTCTGTCCCTTCCTCCATCTGCCACCGTCCCAATCTCCCTTCCTCCCCCACCCTCCTCCTCCTCCTTTTTGACATTGCTCGGAAATGAAGAAAAGATTGTGTTGCGTCCCCTCCTCCTCCTCCTCCTCCTCCTCCTCCTCCTCCTCCTCCTCCTCGTCCTCCTCCTCGTCCTCCTCCTCCTCCTCCTCCTCCTCATCCTCGTCATCCTCCTACCCCCCCCCCCCCTCTGCCTCAGTATGGTCCACGTCAGCCCTCCTCCCCCAGCGCCTCCGCGGCTTCACTGCGACAGCCCTCGGGGCGGTGGCAGGTCTGGCTGCAGGGCTGCACGCGTCACGGACTCGGCCCGTCGACTCCACGACTGCTTCGTGGCATGGGCCACAGGAGCTCTCGACAGGAGTCGCGAACCCCGCGCCACTCTCCATAGCCCTGAAACCTTCCTAAACCCTTCCTCAGGAAGGTTCTTGGCAGGTTTTTCTTTGAAAAACCTTCCTGACACCTTCCTAAAACCTTCCTCAGGGAGGTTTTTGGAAGGTTTTTGGAAAAAAACCTTCCTGGAACCTTCCTAAAACCTTCCTCAGGGAGGTGTTTGGAAGGTTGTTGGGAAAAACTTCCTGGAACCTTCCTAAAACCTTCCTCAGGAAGGTGTTTGTAAGGTTTTTGACACAGAAAAAAAGGGGACCCAGATGACCAAACGTAGGGAAACCAGACGGCTTGACTTCCCGTGACGCCAGGATCTGAGGGGACTACCTTGCGCTGAGTGCCCCGTCGACATGCAGTCACCGTGCTACCACACGGAACGATCGATGAGGACCGACTGGGCTTTCTGTCCACGGCGAGCGTCGGCCACCCCGACTTGAACATGACAACCAAGACCCCGAACAAGGAGCAGCACGAAAACGAGAGCACCTCTCGAGCCCACGGCGGTCATTGGATCAACGTCTTGGCTGTAGGCGGCATCGCCACGCCGATCTCCGCAGGGAGGTCAGCTCGGGCACGGGCCCCAAGTGCCGGCACAAGTACCGCAGGCCCACGCGGGAGGCAAGCAGGCCAGGCTCTCGGGCAATACTGCGCCATGCGAGGATCAAATTTGTGGTTGACACCTCGAACCCAATCCAGGGACGTGCCAGTAGGGGTTCACGTGTGTTTACAACAAGAGTGCCTGATTCTCTCCCCCTGGGTCACAGGGCCAGAATTCAAAGTGCTTGTTCGACTCCTGATCGGAAGAGAGGAGGAGGAGAGAGAGAGAGAGAGCGAAATCAACGAACAAAACAGAACTCATCTCTCCTCCCTCGTATGTATCCTATCCTCGCCCCTCTCCTCCTCCTCCTCCTCCTCCTCCTCCTCCTCCTCCTCCTCCTCCTCCGCCTCCTCCTCCCTCTCCTCCTCCTCCTCCTCCCCTCCTCCTCCTCCCCTCCTCCTCCTTCCTCCTCCTCCTCCTCCTCCTCCTCCTCCTCCTCCTCCTCCTCCTCCTTCTCTCGTCCTCCTCCTCCTCCTCCTCCTCCTCCTCCTCCTCCTCCTCCTCCTCCTCCTCCTTATCCCTGCCATCTCATGTATCATGCATCCTGTTTCATCCTCCTCCTTTTCCGCCGAGGGCTCGTACGTAACGTGGATCCTGGGCGCAAGACTGATCAGACCAGGATGCATGGTTGGTCTGGTTAGCGCTCACCAACAAAAAAGAAGAGGGGAAACAAAGTAATCAAAACGTGTGGTTCTCGCGGCTCTCTCTCCCTCTCTCGCTCTGTCTCTTCCTATCCGTCTCTCTCTCTCTCTCTCACATTCTTTGTTCACGCCGCCACCACGGCGCATGCAAGCCGATGGATGCCAATAGGAATCACCGGCGAGACATCCGCATTCGTTGAATTCGCAGGCTTGAGAAGGTGCGACCTACTGTCAGCCAAGCCACGAGGAACGCGATGCGTGTTCACCTTCGCGCTCCCGGGGGCGGGTGTGGGGGCGTCATCGCCGAGAAGGGAAGCTGGGGCCACCTACCTGGCAAGAGCGCGAGCTCTTGCGCCGCGGCGGCAGGGGACAGCAGGAGGAGGAGGACGGTTGGGAGGAGAACAGGGGGAGAAGGGGCAAGAGGAGGACGGTGGCAAGAGAAGGGAGGAGGGAGGGGAGAGGAGGGGGAGGGAAAGAGGAAGTGGAAGAAGGGGGAAATGAGGCGGGAGGAGGGAGGAAAGAGAGCTCTCTCGACCTCTATGAGAGCACAGGCGCCAACGACGACACTATGTTATCCACAGACAACGGGGAGGGGGTGAGGCGGAAGAAGGGATGAGGGAGGAGGAAGAGGGATTGAGGAGCAGAGGAGCAAGCCAGGTGCGAGATGACATCTCACCCATCCCACCAATCCCTTTGCGGTGCGTTGAATCGAATGTACCAGGACCTTGGTCCGCAAAATGGCAATAGCAAATAGCAAATAGCAGGACTTGACGCATCGTTTGCCGCACAATCGAAAAGAGAGGATTTTCGTACAGATCCAGAAAACCGAAACAAAAAACGGGTGAGCAGTAGGTGGAGGAGGACGATCAATCACGAGAAGGGAAAGGCCGCCGAGGCTCTCCGTCTCAAGACGTGCCCACCTCGACGCCAGCACCTAGACCTGAGACAAGTGAAGGACCAAGGGACTGGGAGCATGGAACATGAATTGGCCTGGGTGCGAAGACCCGAGACAAGTGAAGGACCAGGGGACCAGTGAACGCCGGAACCTCAACCTGAGACAGGTGAAGGACCAGGGGACCAGAAGACCGGGAGCATGGCACATGAACCGGCCTGGGTGCGAAGACCCGGGGCCCGGAAAGGGAGGCAGGCACCGCCGCACAGGCGCGGCGCACGGCCTGGCGTCCAAGAGGGGGTCGTCCACGATGGGGGTTCGCAACTCGTTGCCCGGGGCATGAGCGCGGCCAAGGGGCGGGGCTCCTGCTTCAACGAGCCGGGACCCCGACACCCGACCCAGAGAGCCAAGACAGGAGCCGCCAGCCAAGAGGGAGGGAGGAGGTGAAGGAAGAGGAGGAGGAGGAGGAGGAGGAGGAGGAGGAGGAGGAGGAGGAGGGGGAGGAGGAGGGAGGATGGGGAAAGGAGAAGGATGAGGATGAGGAGAGGATGAGGATGAGGAGGAGGAGGAGGAGGAGGAGGAGGGGAGGAGGAGAGGAGGAGGAGAGGAGGGAGGAGGGAGGAGGAGGTACTGGGAGGTTCCCATGGGTCTCCAGGAGAGGGAGGAGTCGGAGTATGGTGGAGATGCAGGAGCTGGGCAGGGCCTGCCGCGTCGGGCTCTCGCTCCCGCGGCCTCTCTGAGAGGAGCCAGACGGGGACGACGACGACAACGTGGATAGGGGGCCAGATGCGAGCCCTACCCCTACCCCCCACGGTTTCTGAGGTAAAGGGTGGGGTTCACTTCGCTCGGGAGCTCCCGACCGAAGTGAACCCCACCCTCCCCCTCAGAAACCGTGGGGGGTAGCGGTAGGGCTCGCATCTGGCCCCCCAGTGGACCTAGATCGGCGGCTCAGAGATGGGATCCCGAGGGACGGGGTCCTTACGGACGAGGTGCCTCAAACAACGTACATCCACCCTTGGACCCCGTCCTTTCTCGAGGCCCCCACCTCGGAGGACCCCGTCTTCGAGCCACCGACTATACATGGCCCAGGCTCGCCACATGCCGGCTCGCATCATTCGTGGAGCCAGGGCAAATTCTCGAAGCTGATGGCTATGCGGCCGCCGTTTCTGGGCCCGCGGTCGCTCGGCCGACCCCAGGGGGCAAGCGACTTCGTCGCGGGGGTGAGGAGGGGGGGCCGGCGGGGAGCAACAAATCTCGGGGATCTTCTGACCCGGGTTAAGCCAGACCCGGGTCAGCAGGAAACCAAAAACTGCAATGCAGGAACAAAAAACTGCAACGCAAATCTTCGCAAACCCGGGTCAGCCAATATGCGCGGCCGCCTCGCGGCCACGAGCGGCTCGCTAACCCGGGTCAGCCAGAGGGGGTCTTCGCAGGATCCTGCAGGATCCGGTGCCCTGGCTGACCCCCGTCTCAAGGCTCCCGAAGGTCCCCCCCGACGCCAGGTCCGGGCGCCACTAATTTCGGCATCGGGGTGCCACCTCTGGGCCACCAGGCCGTGAACAAGGGCAGCTTCTCGGGCCGGGCAAAAGGGGCGGATAGCAAAGGGGGGAAGTGAGAATCAGCTCACGCAGCTGATTCTCCCGGCGCCTCCCAGCGCCTATGTACATCGAGGAATGGGCCCGGCGGCGGGGCGGAAACCAGCTGCATGCAGCAAATTTCGTAACCCCCCCTTTCCCTATCCCCCCCTTTCGTTCGGCCTGGGCTCAGGGCGAAGAGCGGGCCTGCCTGCGCGGGGGCCTCGGGGAGCCTCGCCGCAGGGCTCCCGGGCTGGCTCCCAGGAGTCGCCGGAGGCCCTCGGAGGCCTCAGAAGCCGCCAGAGGCCCAGGGAAGGGCTCGAAACGACTGGAGGGGGGAGAGTGCAGGGCGAGGACAGCTCATCAATGAGCACCGCCTGGAGGATAGGCCTTCGCAGGCATCGGCAGGCGGTGGATGTTGGTATATTTGCCCTCCCCCCTCCCAAGGGGCCCGAACATGTCTGGATCCACCGCCTGCCGACACTCCCGAACACCGAATGCCCAGGCGTCCAGGCGGTGGTTACGGATAAACCCCCGCCTCGGATAGAGGACATACCGCTCCCCCCCTAGCTGGAACAACAAAGAAGTAAACATGCTTTCTCTGAGGGCCGCGTCGGTTTCTTGGAGCGGCGCTGGACCCACCTCCCTGGCGCGCGGGGCGCGCCAAGGGTGGCGCCGGCGGCGCCGCCGGGGGGGCCCAACGCCGATCCAAGAGATCCTCGCGCAGCTCCGAGAAATTATGTGTACGTGTGCAATGATGTTTTGGCGGCGCGCGCCTGGGGGGGAGTGAGAGGGGGCGGGCCTTCTCAGAAGGCTCTGAAGGTCTCCAGGCTTTTGAAAAATACTCCGAGCCTTCCCCGAAGACACAGAAAGTTTCACAGAAGGCCAGAGGATTTCTAAGGAGCCCCGCCGCCTGCTGATAAGGCCTGCTCCTTCTCACTCCCCCCCCATTTTGATATTCGAAGAGCTTCGACATCCCGATGGTCTATCCGTGGGTTGGCGCCGGCACGCTCGGGCCCTTCCACGGGGCCTGCTTTCCGATGCCAAGGCCCCCTGGAAAGACGCGCGGGTACCAGAAAACGTGGAAGGCTCATGTACGGGCGCGAAAAAAGGGACGCAGGAAGACCTTTCACCTCCAGAGCGTCAGCGTCTTCGTCGTCGTCGTCGTCCCCCTTCAGGGTCGACCGTATCATCCGCAAGGCGTTCACAATAGGGGACGCAGAAGGACATACTAGCACCTAGCACTATCAAGACGAAGCCAGGACAGGGGTAAACTGGGATAAACTAAGGATCGCTGAGATCTGGACCTTCTGGAGGATGCATCGGGCGCCGCGGCCTTCTCAGAACGATCCCGGGTGCAGTGAGAGCATCCCGGCACGCTCCGGCACGAGTGGTCCCTCTCCAACCGGCCCCGCCCGAACTGTGCGCACCCTTTGGAGGGGCACGTCCGAATCGAACATACACCACCAGCCTATTACAGCACATCGCTGCCTCATGGCGGCATGGCCGGAGAGCGCCCGAGGCCGCGCAGACGCTCTGCGATGTACGAGCGCGCGTCGCCCCGGAGGGGCCGACGCGCACCTGCTTCGCGCCGGCGGCTGGGCCAAATTGAAGGAGCCCTGGGACACACAAATGAATACACACAAATAGCAGGATTCCCTATATTATCCCATATGTTCTAAGTTTTCGTCTTCCCCCCCACTTCCCAGATTTTCCCATGTTTTCTCGGGGATCGACGATTCATTGTGTCTGCATGTTTTTTCTTCCCCTCTTGATAAGTACCTGCGCTGGCGGGAGAGCCAACTCAACGGGGGCACCGCGGTAGCGAACTGTGCCACCATGCAAGAGGGATTTTGAACAAGAGCGGGAGGGCGGCCGAAGGAGGGGCAGGGGGAGCGAGGGCCGCTCCGGGGGACGGGTCACACCCGGAGCGCGTGGCGCGGCCGGCCCCGCCAGCAGGGTCTGCGGCCTCTGCTGCGCCGGGGGCCCAGCGGCGGCGGGGCGCAGCGCGGGTACCAGAACAAGTCGGTGGGTCAAGGGTGCGATGCAATGAGTGCCGGGACCAACAGTTGATGGCGGCGCGTCCCCCAGAGGGGGAGGGCAACGCACACATAGAGTACAAGAAAGTGTGGGCGATGCCGAAACCGTTTTGAACTGATGAGAAAACAGACCCGCTAAAAGTCTGGGCTTGCCCTGAGGGCAGGCCGAAACGACCACGAGGATGGGCGGCGCGGGGTTCGTCGGCACGCCCCTCACGAGCTTGTCCTCGCACCCGGCGCCCGAGGTCCACCACTGCGTGCCGTTGGGTCCCGGCATGCTGCCGCCTGCGAGGGATAAAATCTGCAACGCACCAACTTGGGATTGATGGGACGATCGAGGCCTTGCACGTGCTTGCTTATCCCACCAGCCCTCTGGGCGTAGGTGGTTTAGCGCGTTTTCGCTTCCATCTTCTCCTCTTCCCAGCAGGGGAGGGGTTGATCACTGTTCCCTATTACACCCCCTCTCCCAGGCGACCGGCAGCCAACCAGGAGCAATGAGGACCCCATGAGGGCCACCCCCCACACACCATCCCTTTCAAAAAACAATACAAAATACACTTTGGGGCAGAAAGTCTGGAGTCATGTTTGTAAGGCCCGCGAGCACTTTGTTTTGTTATTTGACATGGGCGGCGGGGGCATCAGCATGTTGCCTGCTGCGCGCAGGGCTACCATCCCTGACACAAAAACAATACAAAATGCACCTCGCGGCAAAATGTGGATCATGCGCGGCCACCCCGCGATCACTGTCAAGCGGTGGAGTATGGCCTGCTATGCGCAGGCCCACCGGACACAATGATGGGCATTGGTTTTCGAAATGGATGGTTGGGGCAAACATGTTTCCCGATGTGTGCTGTCACGTGCGCAGGCGCACCTGACACTCTCTGCAAATGCCCCGCACGTGGCGCACCTGGCGCGGCTGGAATATGCGGCATACCTGGCGCACACGGAGTCACGTAACGCATCTGGCGCACCCGGCGTGCCTGGCACGCTCGGGCCCCAGGGGTGCCTGGCGCGCGTGGCGCGCCTGGCACGCGCGGCGCACCTCGCCCCTGCCAGCGTCGCACACATGGGCTCGATTTTGTTTCCCAGTAGCTGTCCATCCAAAGACGCCCGCTGAACATGCTGAGGCTCGGGTGTTACTTATGTGTTGGGAGGGCGGGTGGGAGCGAGCTAGACAGTTTGCTATCTACGAGGGTGTCTTGATCCCTCCCCCTACACCATCCCCTTGGACCTGGACGGGGCGCCCAGCGAAAGAGAAAAGAGCGTCCAAGATGGCCCAAGATGGCTCCTAGAGGGCCTCAAGTTCAAGATGGCCTCCAAGAAGGCTCAAGATGGCTCAGGATAGCCTCCAACGTGATCCACGAGGCTCCAAGACCGCCCCAAGACGGCTCTAAGTGGCCTCGGAACACCCCCAAGAGAGCACCCAAGAGGCCAAACTCCTTCCAAAACCTGCGGAAACTCAATGTGTTTTGCTTTCTCGCCTTTTTCGCTTCTGACGGCTTTCCGAGACGTCAAGATGGATCCAAGATGGCCAAGGAGGGCCCCAAGAGCATCCCAAGAGGGCTCCAAGAGGCGACTTTGGAGGCTCCAGATGGCAGCAATCTCCTCCAAGATGGCCTCAAGAGGGCCTCCAGGGCTCCCAAGAGAGCCCCAAGCGGCCCCCAGGAGGGCCCCAGGAGGCTCCTAAGCGGCCTCCAAGACGCCCCTAAGAGGCCTCCCAGGAAGCCCCCAAGAGACATGCCTAAAGACTCCGATAGGCATCCCAAAGGCCTCTGGCCTTGTGCTCACCCTCCTCCTCCTCCTCCTCCTCCTCCTCCTCCTCCTCATTCTCCTCTGCCTACCCCCTCTCGTCCCTCCTCCTTCCTCTCCTCCTCCTCCTCCTCCTCCTCCTCCTCCTCCTCCTCCTCCTCCTCATCCATGTGTTCCTCCCTCCTCCTCCTCCTCCTCCTTCTCCTCCTTCTCATCCTGCTCCTCCTCCTCCTCCTGCTCTTTTTCCTCCTCTTCCTCCTCCTTTGGAAGGTAACAGCTGCCCACTCTTTTGCTCATTAGTTTCCCTTATCACCTCAACTCTCCTGGGCATCGTTTCTGGATGGGCTGGTGGGGATACGCGAATCGTCAACAATTTTTGAAAACAACCAACAAACAAACGCCGCTGAGGTGCCTCTGGGGACATTCAGTCACCAAATTTCCAGAGACCAAGGCATCCGCATCCGGCGATTCGAAGGTTGCGCCAGGACTTGCTTGCTCGCATGTCTCTGCATTCCACTCCGTCTAAGGGGGGACGTCTGGGCCCCAGGACCATCAACACCCCCCGCAATTCACCAGCCTGGAACATATCCCTGTCCCTATGCTGGGCACCTCCTCATCACGATGCCAATCTTGGGGATTCCCTTATTTTTTGAGGGCGGATCCCTAAGATTGCCATCGCCTTTTGGCGTGTCAATCTTAGGGAAAGGGATGCGTTCGAGGCTGGTAAACAATACAAAGATGAGGAGCGACTTCGCGCTCGGGTAAAACACCTCTCCCTCACCACCGTGGCCGCAGCTGTAGCTGTTCGCGGGGGCGTCCTCGGGGTACCTCGAGCTGCAGTCCTTCCTCGGCTGGCCCTCCCCGCCGTAGCCGCAGTCGGCGTCCACGCACTTCCACTCGTCCATGGCCCAGCAGTAGGTCTGCGCGCCCTCCGCGTACAGCCAGCCGCAGTAGCTCGAGGAGTCCTCGTACTGCCTGGCGTACCACTCCCTGCAGCGGTGCTGCCCGCAGGGGTTGTCGACGAGGGGCCCTGGGCAGCTGGCGTAGCAGGCGTCGGTGTTGCACCGGTTGGACGAGGGCGAGAACGACTCGCACTCGCAGCTTCCCTGCACGTTCTTGTCGGAGAGGACGGTCGGGAAGCCGATGCCGGGCGCAGGCACTACCCTCAGCTCGGAGCCGGAAAATTTCCCGGGTATGGCAACGTCCGTCTGGGCGTTGCCCGAGGCATCCGTATAGTTCATGGTGATGCCCCCAGAGACGCCTTCAACGGAGGACATGTCGTACCAGACAGCGCCTTCACCGCTCCTGTCGATGGTGAACTCCACCTGGCTCATGTACTGTGGCCCCTTTGCCAGGGAGACCATGGCATTGGACTGAACGTCCTGGAACCAGCAGGCACCACTCGGCCACGTGCCGTTCCCTCGAATGTACAGGGTCGTGCTCGAGCCTTGGCTGAGACCCAACGCCAACGTGCAGCCACCGGGCACGCCGGCTCCCCACTGCTGAGCAGCCTTGCTGCTGGGGTCGGAGACGTCGTACTCTGATCCAACTACGTGCTTCTTCAACTCGTGGTCGAAGTAAACCAAGGAAGGCGAGGAGGGACAGGAGGTGGGCTCAGACCTCCACCGTCTGGAGCAGAACAGGACCGAAACATGTCATCACTCTCTGCCTCCTGGGATAGGTTGCGGGCTCCAAGACCAGAAACATGTATCGGACGACGCAAGAGATAGATAAAGAGAGAGAGAGAGAGAGCGAAACGATGAAAACACTCTGGCCCCCAGGACGGAAGGGTCAATATTTTAGGGGACCGCGCATAGGAAGACAGTACGTCCGAGGTCTGTGGATGATGGGTGGAGGAGGGCGATTGAGGACCTCGGCCATGCTGCCGTTGACCGGCCCACGGCAGAAGACCACGCCGTCAGCCCACTCGTTGTTGGTGATCATCATGGCCGTGGTGCCGTCGTTGTGCTCGGGCCCAATGATCGCCTCTGGAGGGTGAGCCGCTGGTGGCGTACCGATAATCCATGGCGCTGGAACGGAGACCGCCACCTGTGCACCTGCGCCAGCACTGGCCCGCCACATCGTGGTCTGGAGACCGCTCAGATGGGGCGGAAGAACGCACCGCATCGCCGGTGCATCGGCGACGTCGGGATATCGAAAATCAGACTCCGAATTCCGCCGCGTCCCCGATGCATCGGCTGTGCGGCGTGATCCTCCCATTTGTGTTCTGGCCCCATCTGGGCAGACTGGATCATTCCTGGACTGCTGTACAAGGTCAGCAGACGCCGCCGAGCAACCTTCGTCCGCCCAAAAAATTGGCAGCTTGTCAAGCTGCGTCAGGCCGCGGCGACGAGATCTTCCAGAAGCTCTCCAACCGAAGATCATCCGAAACGGCGCCGACGTCGTCGTCGCCGTCGCCACCGTCATCGAGCGACGGGCAGCCCAGGTCACTGGTCGGCGCAGGCAAGAGGGGTGGATAGCGCAAAGTCGGGTATTTCACGCATTCGATGTGGAGCCGTGTCGAAGGCATGGACAATCGCAGCCCCAGGACACACGTGATGCTCCCCCCAGACGTGCGATGCCTCGAGAATCTTTCAATGCGCGGCCCCTGGAAGTCTCCATCGTTTCCCAGGTGCCAGTGTTTCATTCCGAGCCGCTTTCTGACGGTCCCGGGGCACCGGCGAGGGCCCGCCGAGGCCCAGAACCGAGAAAAGACGTCGCCCCGTTTCTCCCTGCGGCGCCCCCGGGCCAGCCGCAGCCGTTGCAGCCGCCGACCGGGGCGCCGGCAGTGGGAAGGGCTTGGACATAGATTTTGGGCTTCCGCCCACCCCCTGAAGAGAAGGAAACTGAAAAGGTACTCCAGATTTCGTAATAAAAGGGAGGGGGTCTGGACCCTCCAAGACAAGCCATTTCAGACCCCCCTCGTGGGAGAACCCTCCAAAACATCGTCCCCAGACCCCCCCAGGCCCTCCAAGATAGCTTGGAAAAGACCCCCCCCGAAATGACACCCCCCTCCCTTTATTACGAAATCTGGAGTACTCAGTTATAGAAGCAGGAAAGCGCCTCAGGCACAGCTTGAACCTGGGATATACAAAAAAACACCTACTTTCAACAACCGTCGTGTACGTGCACGATGTCGACTACACGCAAAAGTGACACGGGGTAAGAATGACCTTTGCTGCGCGGCTTTCTGGGGGGCCGCGCGCGGGGGAGGCAAAACCCAAGCGCGCAAGACGCTACTATCGCACCGCATTCGACGGTCGGGAAACCCCTGTGGGCCCGCACCAAAGGTCACTCCGGCGAAGGGTCACTCTCACGCGCAGCCGAGCGTGAGCTCGGGGGTCTACTGACCCGGGCCAATCCAGACCCGGGCCGGTCGGGCCCTGCAGGACCCTGCAGGCTCCTGGCGGGATCCTGCAGGATCCTGATCGCCACGCCTGGGCCAGGGCGACCTGGCTCTGCAGGATCCTGCGGGGCCCGGCGCTCCGCCCGACCCCCCCCTTGGCATGGACCTCCGCCCATACATAACACCTCTTGAGCCCCGGGCCCAGCCGTGGCCAGCAGTGGCGCGCACTTTGGACGCCCGAAATGGGTACTGAAAGAATGGGCACAATGCCCAACAACAACTCCTGTTCATTTTCAGCAGGGTTCGCTGTCCACGCCGCCGCGGCCTGTGTCCATTCGAGACAAAAGGCCGCCTGCCCAACAGCGGCCGCTGTTGGCTTGGGACAGCATTTGTGGTTGGGCAGAGTGCCCATTCTTTCCGTACCCATTTCGGGTGTCCAAACGCACAGGCGGGCCGGTCTCCAGCTGGGGCCGGCGGCGGGGGCGCGGGCGCGGGCGCGGACGGCGGCGGCGCGGAGGCGCTCGTCGGCCGCCGGACGACGAGCGCCAGCAGCGCGTAGAGCACCGCGAGGAGGAGCGGCGGTTCAGAGACGGGGCCCCGAGGGGTGCGGCGTGGAGGTCGGGGCGTTGACCTAAGGAACGATAAATAAGGAACGAGGCACCTTTTTTCCATAAGTTAACCTTCGATTTCCTGCCAAAAACATAAGGAAAGCCTAAGGCAGAAACAATCAAGGAACACGGAGCCCCTCCCCAACGAAAAGGGTTCCTTCTTCAGGTCCCCTACTGTGGAAGGCGAGGCAAGACGAAGCCAGAGGATGCCTCGGGCGCCGCAGCCCTCTCAGAGCCTTCGGGAGCGCCCCGAGACCGCTCCGGAGCGCTCTGGAACGGACTTATCCTCGTCCTCAACGGCCTCGGGCAGCAAGAATCCAGCCTCGGATCCCTTTATCTTCAGGAGGCAGCTCCCAGGAGGTCTGCGCCAGAAGGATCGAGGGCTGCGTTGCCGACGGAGGGGCCATTGACCTGGGTCAGGCCGGATGAAGCCTGGGGTAGGAAACCGGATTCAGCGGGATGAAGCCAGATTGAACCGGCCAGATTTCGACCACGAGTTGCATCCTAGCTTTCGTATCCTTGGGGCCCCCTCCCTCAGGGCTCCATCTTTGAACCGCCGGGAAGAACAGCAGGCCCACCCACTGCCGGAAACCGCCGCTGCCGGTGGGGCCACCGCCGCCGCGCAGCGGCAGGGGCGGCCTCTGTTACAACATCTGTTGTCTCTATCTCTCGCTCTCTCTCTCTCTCTCGTGGGGGAGCATGTGGTAAAGAGAGGGGGGAGGAGCATTTGGTAGAGTTTTTCGTTGTCATCAACATGTTCTGCTGACACCCTAATCGGATCCCGAAGCAGCAGAGTCGGAATCGGAACCCATCCCGTCCTCGACCACGGAAACATCCTCCTCACGAAGTCGTGCGCGCACGACCTCGAGAGCAGTCCTGCTCCCAGAGGCAGAGGAGGCGGAGGGGCGGCGAAAACAGGGGAGGTGCGCGGGGCGACCCTTGACCGTCCACGGAGGCAGAAGATGCCTCGAAAATAACTTCCTCCTCAGCAAAGGGGCCTGCAGGGCACAGGATGCGTGAGGGAAAGGAGAGGAAGATGTAGAGCGGGGGCCCGACACCTCAGAATCCCTCGCGGGAGGTGAGCGGGAGGCCAGGCGCGCGCTCGGCAAAGAGGCACGGGAGGCCGTGCCGACACTGGCAAGACCTCGCTTGCCACGTCTAAAAATGACGAGGACCATCATCCCCACGAGACGACTCTCCGACGACATCAACGAAACCACTCGCCCCAGAGTACGTCGGGCCGCCAAAAAGGGAGCGACCAGCGTCTTCCTCGCCTGAGGAGTAGCCTACATCCTCGGGAGCAGCAGCCGAACAAGGACTTCCTCCTCCGACGACCGACCCAATGACGACGAGGGCCCATGCTCCACCAAGACTCCAACGCGGACAAAGTGGCGGCTTTTGCAAATGGGGCTCCAGTTTCCATAACGGGAAGCCCTGGTGGAACCGCGACAGGGTTTGCCTAACCCCGCGATTCTACCGTGCGAGGAGTAACAGTAGCACACAAGACAGCTTACGAGCTCGACCTGGTCCGAGCACCGAAGAGCGATGCGACGATGGCCCTTGTCAGCAAGGGTCTTGAAAGACAAAGCGCTTGAAAGGTGGCGGACGGGGGCTGCAGGCATCGGGCCGTGTGAAGAGGAGCGGTGAACCTTTCCACAGCCCTTGCACTTCCAAAATCCTGGTTTGGAGCAAGGGCAGCTGTATAGCTTGCCACTGACAACGAGGGCGAGGTACCCCGCTGACCCACGGAGGCTTGACAGATTCAACCCCTTCCAGGTCCAAGCGAAGCCACAAAGGCAGAAGTCGGGCACCTAGCTCGACAACAGCGCGAGCGATCTTAAGATCCGTACTGAGGCGGGCGCAGTCTTCAGGCGACGGGGCAGGATGCCCTAGGTGGCCCTCGCCACCAGGCGCGGTCTTGGCACCAACATCCGCACAGTGGTTGCCATATCTGCACAGTGTGTCATGTTGTTCGGACCACTCGTCCAGAGATCGGCGGGCCTTGAATTTACAAAGTTGTCCGACCTTAAAAATGTCGCGCGACAGCGCCAATGAACACCCCGCGTGACAACGCTTGGGTGATAATGGATATATGCAAGGCAGCGCGAAGTGGGAAGTGGTCCTTAACCAATTGCGCATCGATATAACAAATCCAAACGCTCCGTGGCGAACAGCGCTGCTTGACAGATGGCGGCGAACTTCCCAACGAGAGCAGTTTGGGGATGCCGTGGCGGGACCGGGCCGTAAAGCATGGCTTGCAACTCGCCGTCAGCATCGACCGAAGTAACACACCAGCCCGCCCGACTGAGCTCTCGGACTACATGCGTGGTAGCACTGCCATCAGTGAAGATGTTGCCCTTAAAATTGAAAGAAATCACATCCTGAGGGAGGTCGTCCCTGGCCCAAAAGG